TTTTTATTTCAGCACAGCTGTGAGAGGGTGCACACAAGCAAAAAATCAGACACAAATTACAGATTGCAGCATTAATCAAAACTCTCCTAGCAACAAGGCAGCCTGCTACTGTGCTTGACTGAAATCCCATGATGGCAACTGCCTATTTGTTTCTTTTTTTAAACCACAGGGTAAAAGGAGACCAAGTGTTTTCTTAGGGAACATTTTAGATGTCTTCGCAAGCTGCAGCTACTTGGACAAATCTTTAATGTTTGCCTTTCAAGAGTGTATCCCTGAAAGGAGACTTTCAGCAGTATATCTCATGCTCAGAGAAGACCTTGTTTCGCCCTAGGCTAAGATCAATGACAAATCCTTTCAGATGATTTGAAACCTTAGTGTAAGCAACGGCAAGACTCTTGGACTGCTATCAGCCCTTGGCCAAAAGCAGGAGCAAAAAGGTTAAAATTGCATTAGAGTCTGTGCAAACATCAGTTATCGAATGGCTACTCAGGAGCTGGAGAATTTCTCACCATGTGCTCCAAGAATAGATCAATATGGCCAAAATAAAACCAAATAAAGCAACACTATATGGTATTTTAATAAATAATATTTTGTTTCTTGTTGAATGAGTAGACTAAGTAGAAGACTGTTAATTATTTTAGTCTTTCTTTTTCCTGGCTTAAGACGACAGCGTGGGAAATTAGGTCAGTTTTACTTTGGATTATGGTTCATTTGTGTGAACCCAGTATGCGAAGAAGGAAGTAGGTCAACAAGAAGTTTATTGTTTAAACCAGATTTCTACATACACCCTATAAAATGTAGAACCTTTTTTCCCCAACTTTAAACAAGACTAAACCTTTCATGTAGTTGAGAGATTTTCCCTTAATATTTAGGAGCATTGCCTTTAAACTGTATGGCTTGGGTCAGCTTCTCACAGTAGTTTTCTGGAATGTTGACCCGTTCCTCTCTACTGAACTGGTCTAAGTCATGTTTGTCGGCTGTCTTGCTCACACACACCTTTCATTTCTGCCCTTTCATGGGACTAAGATCTGGACATTTGTTCCTCATGATGCCATCTATTTTGTAAAGGGCATGCATCTCTCCTGCAGCAAAACACCCACACAACATGATGCTACCACCCCTGTACTTCACAGCCTTCCCAGCTTTTCAATTTTTTCTCAAAATATAACAAGGATCATTATGGCCAAACACTTCCTCAGACCTCAGGACATGTCTCCAAATGTTATGGTCTTTGTTCCTAAGTGTATTTGCAATAGAGGACCCTTCAGGCATTTCACGATTTGATTTGATTACCATTCAGAAGGCTATGAGGTGATTATAAATTCCTTTGTGAAGTTGTACAGAAAATTCAGAGAAAAGTACGACTAAATACCAACAAAAAAATCCTCGATCACAAGAATGCTTGTGGACCTTCTCACATTCTGAACAAGCAAACAGCAGACCTGTTTCACAGGTGATGAAGTCCAAGATTTCTCACGTCAATAGCAACTAAAACTATTCTTCCTGGCAATCTACATCCCTCTGCTACATTCTTTCACAGCTCATTTATTTTTGCACAGGTGTGACTCATTCACTGCTTCTGTATGGAGCATACAAGACATTTGCTGCTACATATCAGAAAATGCATAGTTATCGGGACATAAGATTCCATGTCAATACCTGTTCATGTATTAATTGTTTGAGCTAGCCTCCTTGCTTTTAGTGACCCTCTGACTTTGTTTTGCTCTCGTTGTAGAGTTGATGGTTCAGTGAAAGTCTGTTTCAGTAAAGAGGGAGTAGCTTGTGGTGTTGTTTAGGTGTTTACCATAAAGTGTTGGGCTGCCACACCCAGGCAATTAACAATTAGATAATTGAGTTTTGACATTTGTTAATCAATTTAGAATGTCCATGTCCACACCTCAATGCACCAAATAAGGGTTAGGGTTAGGATTTTATCAATCACCCCTTACATGCAAACTTTGATCTGCCTTTTTATGTTGCTTTTCATTAATGGCTTTTCTTATTTGAGTGCTGCACAAGACGTGTTTAGCTATGGGTAATGACACTGTCTTATCAGCTTAGGACAAAATCTTCACAATGTCCTTTGCTTTGATGTTGGTTTGATACATTTCACATAACAAATTCATATCTGGAACCTCCATTCTTAAAGGTACGATATCTGGACAGTCCCATTGTGTTTATACTTGCATATAATTCTTTGATTACATTAGTTATATTTAAGAATGATCCAGAGTTGTAGAGGTCGACTGTTCTGTCCCTGTTGGTTGATTGAAATAGATTTTCTCAGGATGTCACACAAAGAAGCAATGTGTTCCCTTAATTACTTCCACAGGTTAAGTAAACTCAGTTGTTGTGAATTACTCCCTAAGATGCAAATAAAACTATTATTCTATCATCGGGGCCTTCCCAAAGGGAAAGCTATCTTAGTATAAGTAAACATTAGAATTTTGTGTCAAAAAAATCTTTGTCAACGTTCAAGCATTGAGCAAAAAGAAAATTTGTGGCCCTAAACAAGAATAGTTTTAGTATAATTTTTGACACTATGAAAAATAAAGATAATGGATATTGACGTAAAGGAATCAATGATTTAAAAAACAAGAAAGCACCCGGTCAACCTCTGCCAGACTGAATACCGTAGATAAGCAGAAAGTGTCCCTGACCTGACCTGTAAGAGACTGTCAGCATGTCTGTGTGTACCAGAGAGTGAGACAGAGTCATGTGGGAGTTTGTGTGTGACAGAGTGACAGGGACAGGGAAGCAGCAGTGTCCCGAGTGATTGTGCGTACTTGTCTGCTTAAATATTCAGTCCTGACAGACTCTGAAGGCTGAATGAGGATTTGTTAGTTGGAACAGTTACACAGCAAGCTACACCTTTGAAATCAATTGTTTATTCTAAGTCTGAACATGGCTGGTGTGACAGTGTGTGTACATATCACTCCTGTTGGACAAAAAACTTGTATCTCCAAAACCGTAACTTTTCAGGAAATGAAAAAACAAACATCTTGCTTCTAAATGTAGATTGTTATTGTTTGATTAAAGCTATATGCTTTTTTTATACTTTTTTACAGGAAATGTAACAATGACACTTCAGAAAGAAATTAAATGTGATCAATTAAGGTTATTTTCACAAGTAAACAAAAATGTATTAATGGACATATAAGGTTTTTGCCTGAAGGTGACAATCTGCATCTTGAAAATTATGATATATTAGTCTACTTGCTATAGTTATGATTTAATATTCAGGCATTTTGTAGGTTTGTTATTTCAAGGATACCTGTCTTAGATTTAGTACATACAAGCCACAGGGAGTTCTAAGACCTTGCCCAAGGAGTATTGCATAATGTGCACACATTACATGTATTGGTGATATATGGTCACGAGATTTTAATATTTGCACCTTGTGTAATCCATTAAGAGACGTAATCTACACTGTTGAGCCCACAAGAAATATATGCTAATCAAGCATCTCCTGCAGTTATCATTGTCATATTTGCTATAACTGCAATTCCGCAACACAACATTCTCCACTAGAAGATTATTTTTACTACTGTTCAATAAAATAGACACACCCAAAGGTTTTCTGACTGAGAAGTTTGAGATTTTGCAGGCAGGTTATTTACGGCCTTAATGAGCTAAAATTAAGCTAAAAATACGTGAATCTTTTTGCTGCTCAAAACACAGCTACATTGAAAGCTTGCTATATTATATAGCACATTTGTAGCACACATAGAGAGCAGAGAATATGTATCATGTTGATCCCTCCAATAGATAAGGACGTTTGCTGGCTTTTGTTGGAAGTGAAGCTTCAAGTATTATATCTGATATCTACAATTTCTACACTCTCACGGTCCTCGTGGATGTGGCATACATGTAGGTTTAGATAACTTTATAGCTTTATAGGTCAGTAATGTAGGTAAACTGAAGTGGGCAGCTTCTGTGTCTGACTTTTTCTATTTCAGAAAGCCCAAGAACATACATGTTAGGTTAATCGCTGATTCTAAATTGCTTTTAGATGTGTGTGTGTGTGTGGCAACTGTGTCATTACAATTAGTAATGACACTGCTTTTTGCCTCTCTGTGACAGTGGCAGTTTTCTCCTTGTGTGACTTAGGATCAGACATTTGCTCATTTTATTGAGCATTAAACATCTATGAGACAGTAAGTCAAAATCAGCTGACTGAAGATAAGTTGCTGTGTTAAAATAATCTTACTGCATTCTTTCTTTACATACTGTATCTGATGCTCTAGCACAAGTAATGTAATCTCCATTAACACCACCCTGCTACAAATTGTTTGGACCCATCAGCATGAGAACAGTAACTTAGACACACCCAAAATACATACAATGCATTTCAAAAGTATCTGCCCCTGTTTGAACCTTTTCACATTTTGTGAGTTTACAACCCCAAGCATGAATATATAAGACAAAGTAGCATTTACTCTAACTCTTTGGAAAGAAGGAAAATGGAGCATGATTTCTTTTCAGAAATAAAAATCAGAAGTGTGGTGTGTTTGTATTCTGCTCGTCTAAATCAAAACCACCTTTCACTCCTACAAGTTGTTTAGAGTATGTCAGCTTTACACATCTAGAGACTTTTGCAAAACAGCTCAAGCTCAGTAAGATTAGGAGACCATTGGTGAAGAAAAAACATTAAGCTTTCCATCATCTCTGACCAGCTTCATTGTTCCTGTTGAAAAAAAGCATCTCCATCACCACCACCACCACCGGGCATAAGGTGTTAGTATTCTGCCACACAGTGATTTAGGTGTAGCCCAAAAAGTTCAGATTTGGTCTCATCTGGTGCCTATCTCCAGCAGTCGGCAGACATCACCGGGCAACACTGAGACACAGAGGACAAACAACCATACACTCACACACTCATACCTAACGGCGATTTAGAGTATTTCATTATGTTATGTTTTTGGACTGTTGGAGGAACCAGAGTACCCAGAGAGAATCCCAGCATGCACAGGAAAAACATGTAATTTTCATTCAAAAAGAGACTAGGCTAGGATTTGAACCTAGGACCTTCTGGTAAAAAGCCACAGTGCTACCAACTACACCACCATGCGTCCCATGCTGTTAAAACAAATACATGCATTTCCTTCCACTATTCACAATTAGTCCACAAGTATCACTGGGCTACTTGTGACACATTTACACTGCAGGCAAATGCGACCCATAGCCAACTTTTCATTGTAGTCAGAACAGCCCAGTTCCGATATTGTCACCTATAAAAAAAATTCAAATTGTGCCACTTTCATATGTGGTACTAAATCTGATACGTATCAGATGTTTTTCAAAACAGATATCATTGTCCTGCTTCTGATCCACACAGACTTCTCTACAGAAGCAGTAGTCACTGCTCCACTAAGGTCATTGTTAATAGCTGTGCTCTCTTTTTTCTTACCTTTCTTTGTCTTGTTATGATGTAGTTCATCATATTGTCTGTTCCCATTGCTTACTAACTTAAAAAATTATTCACAGACACCAACATTTACCTTTTCCTTCCCATAGAAAGTACTCCTGGATCAGTGCTTCTTTGTTCTCTTTCTGTCTCTGCTCTGTTCTCTCTAACCCCCAGTCGGTCGTGGCAGATGGCCGCTCACACTGAGCCTGGTTCTGCTGGAGGTTTCTTCCTGTTAAAAGGGAGCTTTTCCTCTCCACTGTTGCTACATGCATGCTCAGTATGAGGGATTGCTGCAAAGTCAACGCCAGTGACTGTCCACTGTCTCTACATGCTCATCCAGGAGGAGTGAATGCTGCAAGTCACTGACTGGATGCAATCTGCTGGGTTTCCTTAGATAGAAAAACTTTTTATCCAATTTGAATAAATAAAAGAATCTGGCTGCACTGTTCAATGATTAAGATTAATTGGAATGTATGTACCTGACTTTTGTGAAGTGCCTTGAGATGACATGTGTTGTGAATTGGCGCTATATAAATAAACTGAATTGAATTGAATTGAATTGAACATCCATTATTACTTCCTTAAACAGTGTGCTGCTGAGTGACGTCTACATTCTCCATCTGCGCATGTGGGTTGCTTTCGGGTCGTGAACTGTTAAGACTGAAGTCTGATGGCGGTCGCATTTAATTAGTAGTTTGAATGACCACACTAAACAAATTTGGCCATTAGCAAAAAATCGGAATTGTGCATCGCGTACTACAGTGTAAATAAGTCTTTGTCTTGGTCTGTCATAAAATCCTGACAAAAATCAAGATTTAGATTTAAAATTATTGTCATTCAACAAAAAAAGTTTCTGATATAAAATGAGACAGACATCTGAAAAGATTATAAAATACAAAAAAAAATATGTATCTATTATTTAATCTTTTGTTCTGAAATAACATTGAAAAGCATTGATACCCTTTTCAATGATCAGTGGAAAATAAAATCTTTATTAGCATTACAGCAATCAAACCCTTCTTATAATTGCTAACCAGATTTTGGCATTTGTTTTTTTTTTTTTTTCGGTTATAAGCTCCGAGTCTCTAGGCTTGGACAGTCTCCTTCCCATCACTAATCTTTAGCTCCCACCCCAGATTCCATTCGGGACCCTTGCTGCGTCACTCCAAAATATTAATATTACTTCCTGTCAGAAGAAACATGTTACTTAAACCTGCCAGTGGTATAAATAATTTTGGCCTTGTGACATGTGACAGGATTTATCATTTCAAAAAATGTAGCTAATTTATTTACAATAAAAGCTTTCATGCAGAGCTGGTTTGGCTTCAAGCAGGAGGATGACAGACAAACCAGCCCAATCTGCCAACTTTGTGGAGTGGAAATGAGGTTGCCATGAAAGACTTTGCCAGAATGTAATAGTTTCAACTTCTCTGACCTAACGGACTAACCAACAACAGAGTTCCTTTTAGTAGACATCTTACTTTAAGGACAATTACACGGGTGATGTTATTATGCTTAGGCCTGAAAGAAACACTGACATGGGGGTCTCTAGAAGAAGACCGCATAGTTACCAAAACAACAGACAGTGGCATCAATGTGGTCAGCGGACTGTGATTTGACCAGTCACTAAATATTTTACAGTTTTTGCTCACTTGATTGGTATTTATTCTTACTGGCTGCATCACCTTCACAAAAACAGCATTATTTTCTTTTGCAGTTTAAGGTTTGGTGAATCCCATTTAAACTCCAAAGTAAACATACCCAGAACATCACTGATATCATACTTTTCTAGAATGCATGCATATCATTCATCATCTGTTTTTTTTCATTTTTACAAACAAGATGGCTGGTTTTATTGTTGATGTTTTGGTCTGGCTGTTTTTTTGATTTACCTGAAGATGAGGGGAATTATTTTTAACTAAACCAAATAAAATAGTCTGTTCATTGATATTTTTCAGTAGACTTAAAATTAACAGATTAACATGAGCATGTGATTCATTCACCCCAGCAATGTCTAATTTCCATCAAAAAGTAGAAGTTATTTTCTGCTTAATTTCAGATTTTTACTGTCATCTTTACTTTGGAAAAAACTTTAAGAAGAATGTCTTTGATTAAAGACTGTGTTCTCTTTTGCTATTTTTAATAGTAAAATATCTAGTCTACACTAACAAATATGACCTTTTAACTGAATAAAGTGACTATTGCAAGTGAATTAACTGATATTTATTCTAACCACTAGGAAAGATAGGTAATATTTAAAGAACATTTGTTGAATGTTTATGATAATACATGGAAAAGTATCACAAGCTTTTTTTGTGTTCAAGGGTGACGCGTATGTACCTGATAACTGTGGCACATTCTAGAAAGGCTACTTTACACTCTGCAGCTTTTTTTAAATTTTACATACATATACAGTAGATGTTCATGGGATCATTTTTTTTGATGTTAGATGCTATCTTGTTCATGTCCCAGGCTTCAGATTGTCATTGCTGAATAATTGATGTTCACAATTAAAATAAATAATCATATATATATTCTCATTATTAGAGTATTACAGTGATTAAAAATGTATTTACGTAAAAATGACATCAAGTATTTTTTTTGTGCAGATACTTAAAAAATGATCTATCGAGAATATAATTACCAGAGCAAATGGTAAAACATAAGGCTTAACATTGGAATTATTGAAATATAATCATTATTGGGAACTCAAAAAGAAAAGTCATGTAATTTTTTTGTCAACATCAATCATTACTACTTTCTATTAAACAAGCTCTCAGACTGAGGCCATGCCAACTGTTCTCTGGAATCTGTGTGCAGCTTGATTGAAAGCAGGCTGCAGTGTGAAAGGTTTCACACTTACTGGCTACACAGCCAAAGAACACAGAGGGTCACAGACACACCTTGGCTGAGGATGCTCAGGTGTGGCCAGTGGCCGATATTTAAAAAATATCAAATTTCTACTAAATGTATAGGCCATATGATATATTGTCCTCCCTTCAGTATCTTATTACCAGTGTGAGTATTTGGTTTCTGATTATCTATTGATCTTTATCTGTATTTTTTTTTTATTAATCTACTGTTCTAATAATATAATAGAAATAGGAGCTAAATGGTTAGTAGTTTTATGTTAAACAAGAATATATTTTAAAAGATTTCTCTTTTTAATCCCTGAGGGAAATTATATTGCATCAGTGTTTAATATTGGAAAATAATCTACTGACATAAAACAAAAAGAACCAATAAAAATATTACTAATAGTTGTAAAGTTATTGCAGTTGAATTGACCTTCTGCATTGTTACTGAATGTAGAAGGAATTGTTTTGTTTCTATTGTAGCCCACAAGTATTTAGAAAGCGCACACAGGTGATCAAAGGCAGTTCTTTCAACTTCATGAAAACTTGGACATGAAAAGCAGTGTACTCTTGTGGTAAGCAAATCTAAATACATTTGGATCAATTTGTTTGCATTGCATTGGTACTGTTCTGCAATTGCAATGAGGTCAGTATGACTTGGTCACCAATTATTAATGGCTCATCCAGACCATTTTAAACCAAAAATGAAAATTTATATGGAACTATGAAAACCTTACATGCCACATTATGCCATTCTTAAGATGCAGACTCTAGACGAGCAGGAATATAGAATAATCAGAAGCTAAGAATAAAACTGCATCTATTTGAAACTTTGTTTAATCTGAAACATCTATGTTTGTTACTAGATCGATGAGTAAAATAAGTTTAAAAACATATTTTTCAAAAGCCTTTTTTTCCCTGACTTTCTTTCTTATATGTATTTTCATAAGAAAAGTTTGTGTTGTTTCCCTCCAACCGACCAAAAAAAAAGAATTTGAAATCAACTAAACCTCGATATTGTCTATTAATCTAAATGTGTATGTCCATATGTTTACAGCCCTGTGGCAAATTGGCAAAATTGTATTGGCTTTACATTGCTTGAATGGAATCATCAATGTTCATCTTTTGTCAGGCTTTGTTTTTTTTTTTATTAGTAATGCATTTATTCGCCTAATTTCATGATGTTACTGAATGCTTATGATGCTTATGCTTATGTTTTTCTTCCAGGACATCTGCAAAAGAAATATTGCCACAGACATTAACAGACACAAATAGCTACACCAGCTGGTCCCCCCACCCCCACCACTGTTTGTACACTGCTATCAAGGATCAATATATTAATAAAGAATCTATGATCTTATTTCACTTTAAAACGCTTGTAAAAATATCAGTTGCTCACGCACATTTAGTTGTTTCTTGCAGAGTATAAAATCAAGCTCAGTTTGCACACAAAACTAACTTAACTGTTTGGTTAGCTCTGGTGACTTAATCAGGCTTTAAAGGCTTTAAAATTGAGGGAACTAAAGACTTAGAATTGTTAATATAAACAGTTATGTTAAGAAAACAAAATAATTGTTTTCAGTGTGTGGGTAGCGTGGGTTTACAGCCAACATGTGATAGAGGAAACATCAGAAAATACCAAAATAGTATAAGATTTTGTGTGGGATTTTATAAAAAAAAAAAACTTGAATTAATTTAAAAGGTTGATCAAATAGACCATTGGATTGAAAAACTAAAATTCGGAAGAATTTTGAAATAATAAGGGCATTTACCAATGTTACTCTAAAGTTTTAAGAACTGTAAAAGCTC